TGTCAGTCCAGGGTTCACGGCGTCCCTGAGGTTCCTACATGGCCTGGAGCGGCCACCTGAGGACTGACCACTGTCCTGGCAGCGTGACCCCTTCAGGAAAGCAAAAATGGTGAAATTCAGGTTCTTGCACCTCCCCGAGCTGCTCACACCCAGGCAGGAGGACTGTCTCCTCATCCCCACAGAGAGAGGGGAGCACAGCACCAGGGGATGTGTCCCTGGTGATATTCCTTGGAGCCCTGCAGCCCTCGGTCACATGGGGTCTGCAGCCAAGGCCAGACCTGCCTGTCGGAGGGGTGTGTGCCTGTGAATGCAAGTGTGCAAGTGCATGTGTGTGTGTGTATGTGAGAGAGTATGTGCGTGTGAGTGTGTGCACAGGTGAGCGTGTGCATGTGAGTGCTAGTGTGTGCATATGTTGTGTGTGTGAGTATGCATTTGTGAGCGTGTGTGAGTGTGCGCATGTGTGAACGGGTGCGAGTGTGTGCACAAGTGTGTGTGCACGTGTGTGAATGAGCGCGGGTGTGTATACAAGTGTGTGCACGTGTGCGTGTGTTTACTTATGAGTGTGTGAGTGTACATGTGTGTGCGTGAGTGTGTGCATGTGTGTGCATGTGAGTGCTAGTGTGTGCATATGTTGTGTGTGTGTGAGTATGCATTTGTGAGCATGTACGTGTGTGTGCATGTGTATGAGTGGAGTGTGTGCATGTGTGAGGGTGTGCATGTGTGTGAGTGCAGGTATGTACGTGTAAGTGTGTGCACGTGTGAGTGTACATGTGTGAGGGTGTGCGTGTGAGTGTATGAGCATGTGTTTGAGTGTATGTGTGCCTGCGTGCGAGTGTGTGGGCATGCGTGTGAGTGCACGTAAATGTGTGCATGTGTGCGTCTGTGTGAGCTGAGTGTGTGCATGTGTGTGTATGAGCATGTGTGTGAGCCTGTGTGCGTGTGCATATGCATGAATGTGCAAATGTGTACCCGGGGCGAGGGAGCAGGCTGTGCAGCTTTTAGGGTTCCTCCTGCATCACCCCCCTTGCTGTCCCCTTTGCACAGAGAAGAGGCTGAGGCTGAGGCTGGGCTGCTCTGGGTCATGTGGGGGGGGGCCCCCGCCCTGGCCCTGGAGCTGGCCGCGTGCTCCTGGGGCCTGCCAGGGGCTCCCGCGGGAGTGTCACACGGGGCCCACACATCAGCCCTGTCGAGGGTCAGTGACCTTGCCTCAGCCCAGAGCTCCGGGGCCAATGAGCACCTCGGGTCCCGGAGCCGAGGAAGGCTTGTCCTAGTGCTCTGGGCACCCAGACCCTCATGCTGATACCCCGGTGGCCCCCTGCTTGGTGCCCCAGGCCCCGGCCACCCCAAGCCACAGGATGTCCCACGTGGTCACACTCAGGACCACCGCCCTTAGGAGCAGACGTGGAAGAGTGGTGCAGCCTCCTCCTCCAGGCAGGCCTCCCTCAGGGGGACGACCTGGGCAGACGTACCTCTCAACCTTCACACCACAGCCACCAAGCTCGGGACCAAGGGAGGGCCAGATCCCTCTGCCTGGAGCTCCCCAAGAGGGAAGTGCTGCCCGGGGGTGGCTCCCTGGGGACAGTCACCGTCCCATCCCAAGGTGGGCCACATGCCTCCTTCAGCTCGATTTTTGGCTGGCATGCGGAGTCCCCTGAGAGCCTGAGAGCGCTGTTCTGTGGCCCGGTAGCACGCCATCGCGCCACTCTGGCTGACGCTGCCCAAAGTCAGAAGTCGACTGGAGCCGGCCTCACGTGGCAGAGACGATGGGGCAGTTACGGCCGGCGGAGGCTGGTGGCATCAGAGGCATGTGGGCGAGGAGAGGGCTTATGAAAAGGCTGAAGTGGGTTCTAAACGAGGTCAGCCGTCAAGGCGCCTTGGAGGGAAGCCAACGCTGAACAGCAAACGGGGTTTATTTCCTGACGTGGTGGTGGTGACACCATGTGCGGCCCCAGCCCGCCCCACCCCGCCCCGCCTTGGGCAACCCGTGCCTGAAGCATAGGAGCAGGGAGAGGGGCACCCCCACCCCCAGAACCAGCCCCTCCGTCCTCCACAGGGCACCACAAGGAGGCGTGTGGCGAGGACACCTGGGCACGCAGGTGTCACCTCCGAGGAGCGGGGGCGGGAGGAGGGCTGACCGTTGCTTCCTCACCCCAGGGTCGGGTTGCTCTTTTTAAAATCCATTAATGTAAGGAAGGGCGCGGCGCTCGGGGCCATCCGATTGGACTGGCTCCCTCCCACCCGGCCCAGCCTCGGCAGGTTTTCTCTGGGGTTGCATTTCTCGTCCGAGTGTCCCTTCCGTCTCTTCCTCCTGACTCCAGCGGAATTTTTCTGACCTTGGCTGCCAAGGCGCACAGCCCCCCTCCAGCCCAGAGCACCCACTTTGGGGTCCTTGACCAGAGTGCCAGGCCTGCCCCGCCCCCGGGGGGGCTGTGCAGCCTCAGGTGTGTTGCCTGATCTCTCTAGGCCCTCCTCTTTTTTGTGTGTATAAGAGGGGAATGATCGCCGACCCTGCCGCCCCAGGCTGGTGGGGTGAAACGAAGCAACACCGGGAAACACTTGGCGTGGGCCTGACTTCTGTCCCCGTTCACCACCAGGACTTGGCAATCAGGATTTCTCAAATCAGCTGAATCATTTCTGTCAAATGTGAGAGCGAGGCTGGTGTCACGGTTCTGTCTCTTGATTCCTGCTGAAAATGAACGCGTGTGCAGGGCCCTCACAGGCCGTCCCTCCTCAGGGCTCCCCGCACCTGTCAGTCCATCCTGTCCCGTATCCGGGGGAGGCAGGGAGGCTAGAGGTGTGGTGAGCTGCCTCAGAGCAGGTCTTGGGCTCTGGAGGGATCGATGGCCCTGGTCGTCCACAGCCTCTATCTCTGGGCGGAGCGGGGAGGAGGCTCTGGGTTAAGCTTCTCCAAGGAGGCCAGCCCGGCTTTCAGGAGGCCTGAGCAGGGCTTGACCCAGAGCCCTGTCCCAGGCCCCGCTGCGGCCGAACCTCACCCGCAACTGGAACTGGTACCTACTGGGAGGCCATGAGGTGGGCGGGACAGGAGGCCTGGTGAGGCCCGGTGAGGCCCACTCGGCCTCCGCTGGCTGGTGTGACGCGTGTGCTGGGAACACAGGTGCCGGCCTGCCTGCCCGGGAGGGAGGCTCAGTGACGTCTCTCCACCTCCATCCAGGAGCGACTGCCCGGGGCACACTGTTATCTCCGATGCCAGACGCCTGCTGACGTGGCCTCAACAAGGAGGCTTTGGAAACATCTGGATGAGAAGGGTGGGTGCTCCTAGTCCTGGCGAGAAGAGGAGCCGGGTCTCAGGGGAGAGGTCCCTGGCCTGGGAGAGACGTGACGGGTGACACGCGACACACCCTATGTCCTGCCTGGGGGGGATCTCGTGGCCTTTGGTGTGTCTTTCTTTCTTCTGGCCCGTTTGGCTTTGGGTCAGAGTGGCCTGACCTCTGTGGGGCAGAGAGCATCCCTGGCAGGGCTGGAGGAGGCTGAAACTTTCTCCAGAGTTCGTCTTCATGCAGAGATGTAGACATTCCTTCCTGAGGCTTAGAGCTCAGAGCAGAACCAGCCCCGAGCCCTGCCCTCACATGGGTGCTGGCCCCACGACATTCGTGTGCTGCTAAGACCCGATTCTGGCTTTCTCCAAAGAGAGGGAGAGTGAGAAGAGAAAAGGGGAAGGGAGGGAGGAGGGACTGCTCTTAGTGCTGATGGAGAGATTTTTTTTTTTTGAGTTGGAGTCTCATTCTGCCGCCCAGTCTGGAGTGCAGTGGCCGCGCCCGGCCACCGCAGCCTCGCCTCCTGGGCTCCGGCGATCCTTCCACCTCAGCCTTCCGAGCAGCCGGAATTACAGGCATGCGCTACCACGCCCGGCTGATTTTTTGATGTATTGTAGAGATGAGGTCTCGCTGCCCAGGTGGGTCTTGAACCCACGGGCTCAGGCAATCCATTCACCTCAGCCTCCCAAAGGCGCGGGATTACAGGCTGAGCCACCGAGCCCAGCTTGATGGAGAGATTTATCAACCCTGGCAGATGCGAGGGGGGGAAGGGCGGAGCAGAGGTGCCACATGGAATTTCTTAGAGGGGGCAGCACGTCGGAGTCCATTCTGCAGGAGAGGGACGGGAAGGAGCTGTGTGTAGCCATAATACTGACACTCAGGACTGGTGGGTGGATCTGTGCAAAGTCCCTGTGGTGGGCGTTGGAGAAACAGTCCCCGGGACCAGCTATTCCGATTCAGGCCAGGTCTGCTCTAAGCAAGAGGAAGTTGTGGGTTGGGAGCTTCAGAGACAGAGAAACAGGCCTGTCACTTGCTCTCTTTCCCTTACGGGCTGTCACCTCAGCCAGGCACCCTGCAGACTGCCCATTCCCCGGACACCTTCCTCTCAGTCTGCCCCCAGCAACGCGTCCCACGCCAGTCTCCCCCACCCCCGCGATGCACCCGCGCCTTCTGGAACAGCCGTGGCACCAGCTGGAGACCCTGGGGGAACAGAGAAGAGACAAAAGTAGGAACAGCAGGCCGTGGAGAGAGTGTCTAAACACAGAGATATTTGGAGATTGTCTTTTATTTTTAGTTTGCAAATGGCTGCCCTCTGAGATTGCAGAAGCCATTCTGCTCTCTGGGCCAGGCCGCCAGTGGTCACCTCGGAGGAACCTCAGGTCTCTGTCTATGGACCGGACAGCCCACCAAGTGGTCAGTTCGCGCCTGGCCCGAGAGCGTCTCTAGGGCTGCAGGGGGGTCTGCTCTGGGGACAGCGTTCAGAGCCGTTTCAGAAGGGACGGCCCCAGCCTGTCTGCTTCAGCTCCCAAGGACGCTGTCCATGTGTCATTAGGGCCAATTAGGGGAGGGCGGAAGGCAGAGTGTTTGGCCTGGGGCGCGGTGGCCTCCCACCAGGACAATTGAATTGCCCACCAGACAAATGTGATTACCGGGCGGCCAGGACCCTCCCCCGCAGAGGGCCAGGGCATAAATGGCCAGTTGGGGCCCGAGAGCCTCGCCCTCACCATGCAGGCCTCCAGCCGCCAGTGCCGTTGGGCCAGCCTGCCCAGCCCCAGCGCGCGCGAGGCGGCCTCTATGTATGGCACGGCGGTGGCCATCTTCCTGGTCATCCTGGTGGCCGTGCTGCAGGGCTTGGCGCCCCCTGAGCACCCCCTTCCCTACCGAATCCCGCTGGACCCCGAGGGGAACCTGGAGCTGTCCTGGAACGTGAGCTACGGCCAGGAGGTTGTCCACTTCCAGCTGCTGGTGCGGCGGCTGGAGGCCGGGGTCCTGTTTGGAATGTCAGACCGCGGTGAGCTGGTGGACGCCGACCTGGTCGTGCTTTGGACAGACGGAGACACAGCCTACTTCGCCGTAAGTCTTTCCTCCCTGACGGCTCCCCAGTGCTGCCTGGGCCGGCAACCCGTCTGGCCTGCCTTCCGCACTCACCCTTCCTGGCCCAGCAAGTGGGTGTTTCCACCACCTTGCAAGGCTTGGGTTTTCCCAGATCCAAGCCGAGTCTGCATCCCGAGCTTGGCCATCGTGGGGATGCCGATTTGAGGACAAAATGGGAAATATAAACTTTCTGTGATCCTTAGCCCAAATCATGAGACCCAGTAATCGTTTTTCTTTTTTCTTTTTCTTTTTTTTTTAGTTGGGGGTCTTATGCCCAGGCTGGAGTGCAGTGGCACGATCACGGCTCACCATAGCCTCGACCTCCTGGGCTCAAGTGATCCTCCCACCTCAGCCTCCCCTGTAGCTGGGGGCTGTAGGCACGCGCCACCACCTTCAGCTAATTTTTTGATTTGTTGTAGAGATGAGGTCTCGCTATGCTGTTCAGGCTGGTCTTGAACTCCTGGGCTCAAGTGAGCCTTCCACCTCAGCCTCCCACAGTGATGGCATTACAGGCGGGAGCTACCACACCTGGCCAGGATCCAGCAATCTTTTTTTTTTGAGTTGGAGTCGCACTCTGTCGCCCAGACTGGAATTCAGTGGCCACTCCCGGCCACCACAGCCTCGACCTGCTAGACTCCGGCGATCCTTCCACCTCAGCCTTCTGAGTAGCCAGAATTACAGGCACGTGCTACCATGCCCGGCTGAGTTTTTGGTTTATTGTAGAGATGAGGTCTCACTGCCCAGGCGGGTCTCGAACCCGCGGGTTCAGGCAATCCACTCACCTCAGCCTCCCAAAGGCGTGGAATGACAGGCTGAACCACCAAGCCTGGCTAGGATCTAGCAATCTTAAGGAGGGAATCTGCATTCGGGGGACTCACGTGCCACGTAAACACCCCCACCTGTGTGAGTGCAGAACCCGTATCGCCCCCTCTGCAAACAATGCCCAGTGTGTTGTGCAGACTCCCCCACCCATGCGGGCCAGGATACGGCCCGTGGCCAAGCGCAACGTGAGGTATGCACACCCAGCACCAGGATGCAACTGGTAAAGACCTATTGTGCTTGCACACGTGAACCACCTTAACAGGTGTAGGCATCCCTGCCCCCCACCCACCACCACCACCACCAAGAGTGGAACAAACCCCATGGAGCTGAGCCAGAAGTCAGAGTGGCTCTTGACTTCTCTCCCTCAAAACTTACCTCCGGCCAGGCTCAGTGTCTCAGCCTCTAACCCCAGCACTTTGGGAGGTCAAGGCGAGTGGATTGCCTGAGCTCGCGGGTTCAAGACCGGCTCAAGCAACTTGGCAAGACCTCATCTCTACAATAAGTCAAAAATTAGCTGGGCATGGTAGCGTGTGCTTGTAGTTCCAGCTGCTTGGAAGGCTGAGGTGAAAGGATCACCGGAGCCCAGTAGGTCGATGCTGGGGTGACTGTGAGCATTCCTGCATTCCAGCCTGGGCGACGGAATGAGACTCCAACTCAAAAAAAAAAAAATGTACCTCCACTTCTGTCTTAAAGGTAGAGAAAGGGATTTCCCTTCAAACAGGAGAGGGCTTTGGGGTCCTTCACAAGTCGCAATGGGAAGAGAGAGCCCACCCCGTGTCCCGTTCACACTTTCCTCCCCAGCTGAGATTGGAACCCAGTGTTCCATGAAACAGACATAGGAGGGTTACATATTTTTTCTCAGGTCAGGAGGCACTTTCTTGATCTGTTTTAACTGCAGAGCTGAGTCAGGAGGGGTGAGTCTGAGCTGAGTGGCCAGGTCCTGCCTCTGGGCTTCACCCTCCAAACTGTGGGGAGAAGCCCCCTTTCACCTATTTTTTTTTGAGACAGCATCTCATGCTGTCACCCAGGCTGGGGTGCAGTGGCGTGATCACGGCTCACCACAGCTTGACTTCCTGGGCTCAGATGGTCCTTTGGCCTCAGTCTCCAAGTAGCTGGGACTACAGGCACGTGCCACCACACACGACTAATTTTTAAATTTTTCTGTAGAAATGAGATCTCGCTATATTGCCCAACTCCTGGCTTCAAGTGATCCGCCCACCTTAGCCTCCCTAAGTGCTGGGATTACAGGCATAAGCCACCGCACCCAGCCTCCCGCCACCTCTTTGGGTGGTTGTGAGTTCACAGGAGGGAGGGGCTTGATGTTTCTAGGGCTGAGTATTTACCCTCCGGTCCCCATCAGCCAGGCGGCTCTTCACCCATGTCACGAACAAGATGCTGAGGCCAGGCCAGGCCGCCCGGGTAGGACGGATGGAGCTGCCTGGCAAGCACCCCGCCTGGTCCATGGGGCCACACCACTCACCACGCTTGAGCACACTCTGTGGCTCGGGGGTCACAGCCTGGAGTGACTCGGGATGGCCTGATTTGTGTCATCAACACATGAGGGAGCAGCCCAGCCTCCTTGCCGTTTTTTTATTTTTATTTTTTGGTGGGGGGGTCCTTTTGTAAGCCTCTGACTCCAACAGTGTCTTTTCCTCCAAGGGTGTCTGTTCCTTGGCCTCATTTTCCGGCTGCCAGGGAGGCCGGGTGACTTCACCTTTCTGCGTGTTGGCGAGATTAATTTGCACAAGTTCCTATGAAAACAAATGTCAGCCTTGACGTTCCTCCTTTTGAGCAATACGTTCAGCTGATACCTGCTAGACTTCCACGGCACCCGCTAACTTTCTGCCTCTGTTTAAAATCAGTTTCTCTGCAAATTGTCCACGTCTCTCGGTGGGAGCCTACAGGTGCTGCCTTTCTCCGGAGAAAGTTTAGAGTCTATGATACTCAGTGATCTATCACAGAAACAAAGAACAAAGAACCATATGTTCTCACTCATTGGCGGGCCTTGAACAATTATCATAATACTATAAGAAAGGAATTGGCATAATGGGAAATTGCCAGGGGAGGGTGGGTGGGATTGGCAGTTGAGGAAACTGCCAGGAGAGGGAGGGACATGCCTCATCAACAAGGGTACCTGCATAATGAACATTTTTATACCTAACCCTGAATTATACCCCACATCTTTAAAATTAAAAAAAAAAACTGCCAAAGAGGAAAAATAAATAAAGATACATTGCCAAAAAAAAAAAAAAAGTTTTGCAATATCTTTTGCATATTTCTTTTTTTTTCTCAAGGAAATGAAAATGTGTCTTAGCCCTGAATGTAGGATTAGAAAAAAAACCAGGCCAGGTGCCGTGGCTCACACCTGTCATCCCAACACTTTGGGAGGCCGAGGTGAGAGGATTGCCTGAGCCCAGGTGTTCGAGACCAGCCTGGGCAACTTGGAGAGACATCGTCTCTACAATAAATCAAAAAAATTAGCCAGGCGTGGTGGTGCGTGCCTGTCATCTCAGCCACTCAGGAGGCTGAGGCGGAAGGATCGCATGAGCCCGGGAGGTTGAGGCTGCAGTGAGCCATGACCATGCCAATGCATTCCAACCTGGGCAACGGGGTGAGACTTCCACTCAAAAAAACAAAAGAGAAAACCCAAAGTCGTTAAGTAAAGCAATGTGCCAGTGGTCAACCTGGTCCAAAGAGCAGCTTGCTCACTGGGGGAGGCGCCTCTGCCCTGTCTCCCGGGTGGTCTCCCGAATGACCTCCTTCCCTGCACCTGGCCTGCAACCAGTGGTGTCCCTGTCCCTTAAGGCCTGGTGTAGGGGAAGCAGCGGAGGTGGGTAGGAGCCCGGAGGTCGGCTGTCCAGATTCCAGGAAAAGTCCTGGGAAAATGCAGCAGGTCCAAGTCCTCTCTGAGCCTCAGTTTACCTTTCCAAGCAAGACTGGGACAAGGATTGGGGTGAGACAGCCTAGGGCTGGGGTGCAGTGTTTTCAGCGGTGCTGGCTCTTAGGATGTGCCGGTGGAGGGTGGGCACTGGGGACGGGCACCGCCTTCAACGCAGCACCCTGGCTTCTCTCTCACCTTTCCTGTCTGCGTCCCGCGGGTCCTGCAGGTCCCGGACTCCTCCCTTTCCGAGGCTTTGTGGGCGTCACCGCCCACAGAGCCCCTCGACCCCGATCGTGGCAAGGTCTCAAAGGCCTTGAGCACCCTCTTTTGTAAATTTTTATTTCTTTATGTTGTGTTGGGATCTCACACTGTTGCCCAGGCTGGAGTGCAGTGGCACAATCATGGTTCACGGCAGCCTCGACCTCGTGAACTCAGGCAATCCTCCCATGTAGCTGGGACTATAGGTGTGCACCTCCACACCTGGCTGAATTTTTTTTTTTTTTTTGAGTTGGAGTCTCACTCCAGGCTGGAGTGCAGTGTCAACCTGCTGGGCTCCGGGGATCCTTCTGCCTCAGCCTTCCAAGTAGCCAGAACTAGAGGTGCGCACTACCACGCCTGGCTAATTTTTTGATGTTTTTTTTTTTTTTGGAGTTGGAGTCTCACTCTGTCGCCCAGACTGGAGTGCAG